GCTGAGGGATTTCCTCTCCAACATACGGAACCACTCACTATTTTTTTATGTGTTGGAACACGCAGGAATGCTTTGCATTTTACAATGTCTTTTCAAATAATTATCCCATTTACTCTTCACAATAACTCTGTCAGGTAGACATAACTCTTCCCATTGTACAGACTTAGGTTAAGCAAATAGTCCAAAGTCACATAATTCAGAAGTGGCAATGCCAGGAGCAAAATCCCAGGGGTCTTTCCACCACATTGTGGTTTTTGCCAGTTGATTACATCCTACGGGCTCACCCCCTCTACGCCCACCTCATAGCATCTTTTAGGTACTTCACTAACCTGGAAGTAGACACATAAGACTCCTTTCTTCTCCCCCAACAGAATTTTCCTTTGGGGGCTACCACATGTTAGCATTTTTGTGTAATAAATTTCAGCAACGTTGACAAACTTCTTAGTGTGTAAAAGATTATAGTCAACTATTTGGGGTAAAGGGGAAGAGGGGTCTTTGTCCATGTTTTACCAATATTTTTCCCGGTGGTTGGGTGGAAATAAGGGAGTGAGCGTCCTTGTTTTGCTGCCTTTCCTGTCCTGTTGCATTTTAAATACACATTGCCATCGAGTCGATTCCGACTCATAGCAACCCGATAGGACAGAGCAGAACTGCCCCATAGGGTTTCCAAGGCTGTAAATCTTTACAGAAGCAGGCTGCCACATCTTTCTCCCACAGAGCAGCTGGTGGGTTTGAACTGATAACATTTTCAGTCAGCAGCTGAGCACTTAACCACTGTGCCACCAAGGCTCCTTATATTTTGAATAGGTACCCCTTAATCATTTGTCATGTTTTTTGTGTGTGTGTTTGTACGGAATGTGGTGTGTGTATGGGGGGGGTCACATGTGCATATGTTTGTTAAAGAAAAGTTACTGTCAAGTTGATTCCGAGTCATGGAGACCCCATGTGTTTCAGAGTAGAACTGTACTCCATAAGGTTTTCAAGGCTGTGATCTTTTGGAAGCAGATCACCAGGCCTTTCTTCCAAGGTGATCTGAATTGCCAACCTTTCAGTTAGCAGCTAAGCACTTTAAACATTTGTGCCAACCAGGGACTCCCATGCATTTGTTATGACTGTATTAAAAGATTAAAAGAAAGGAGTAGCTCTTGCTATTCTAGAAGACATTTGGGATTGGTGTGTGTATGGATGTGTGTATCTGCATTTTAATGTATCCCCTTCAATCCTCTGTAGAAATAAAAATAAAACATTAAGGAACATATGTCTGATATAAGCCTGCCAATATTAGACAACGAAGAGCCCCAAGCCTCCGCTGTTGCAGGGCCAGGTATAATCCTATTGCCAATGACAGGACATAAGAGCTGACTGGTCAGGTGCTAATGGGCAGCCCAGCAGCTGCAACAGCAACGGCCAGGGCAGCCATCTTTGCCCAGGTCAGCCTAGAGTCAGCACATCCTGCTCTCTCTGATCTTATTGGGTCTCTTCTCTATATTATTAGTAAAATAGCCATACCTCAAGTGGCAAATTGTCCACTACCTGCTATATTCACAACCTTGGTGTGTCAATTTTTAATACACTTAATGTATGATTAAAAAAAAATACAAAGAACAGTACAAATGATCCCCATGTTTGCTAATTGATTTTTGAATGGTATCAGAATTAGGGATTCCAGAGCAACAAATATATTCATTATACATTTGTCTTCAATACACCCTGTATTCACACTTCTATATCTTTTTATTATCTTTTTTTTTATGTTTCATAATTTAAATATTTTACTTTCAGAAGTTAGAAACACCACAAGTCTGAAGATCAAATCATTCAAAAACCACCCCTGGGTTATTAAGGACTGCTAAAATGAACTGTGATTTAAAGGTACATCTCCACTCATAGTTTGCACAGGTTGAGATCATCTAAAATTTGGCCAAATCTAAGAATCATTTCTATTTGAAATATCATTATTTTAAATGCTTCATTCTCTTATCCCCTCTGTGTACCATGCAACTTTCAGCAGACAGTTGTCTATTGCTTTGGATGTGTTAATTTCATGTATTCGCTCTCACTGTTCCCTTCCTATGGAATGCCCCTATCTAGCCTCAACAACTCTGCCTTTTTTTGTTAATCCAGTTAAACAATTTGTACAATTCAGTGACATTGGTTATATTCTTCAGGTTGTACAACCAACCATTCTCATTCTCTTTTCCCAAATTTTTCCTCCCCCATTAACATAAATCCACTGCCTCTAAGCTTCTTATCTAATATTTCAAATTGCTGTTGTCAATTTAATCCCATATAGATAGTTCTTTAAAAAAAGCACACTGCTCAAGGCAGACATTCTTTACTAATTAAGCTAACCTATTGTTTGGTTTAAAGAAAATTTCAGAGAATATTTTGATTTAAGATTTAAGGTTTAAAGATTATCTCAGAGCAAAAGTTTTGGGGATTTATCCTGCCTCAGTGGCTCCAGGAAGTCTTAATTGCATGAAAATTTGAAATTCTATCTATATTCCCCCCCTTTTGATCAGGATTCTTTATAGAATCTTTGATCAAAACTTTCAGTAATGGTGGCTGGGAATCATCTAGTTCTGTTCTCACGGCAAAGGAACAACTCTATCTTTTGAAACACTTTCATCCTTTGAGACTGAATTCAAATGCCATAGATTCACATTCTATAGCTGATGATTCTACAAATGAAAATCACGCCTTTGACTGTCAGCCCTTGGTGTCTATGGCAGATAACACTTACACATGCTGTTTGACAGGAGTTGGACACATACATGCCCAACTGCCCCCGGAGAGAGGAAGCTCATTAAAGGTAAAGCTATGTCTCAGTAATCTTTGTAGTCCCCCCAATGGCCCCCTTTCCTCAGCATACACCAGTACCTAATGCAAAATTATCAGAAGAGGAGATATGGAAAAAAATCTTCAATTTCTGCATTTTTTAATTATAACCATCCTTCAAGGTCTTTTCCATGAAGCTTTCTTTAATTCCCTCAAGCTGACAATCTGTCATCCACTGAAAGGCAAATACACGGCACCAATTATTTTTCACCTGGCTTCATAATTAGTAGCCACTGCCTTCTTCCTAGGTAGAGCAAATGCTTTGTGCTTGACTAGTAACCTGAAGGTTCACAGTTCGAACTCACCCAGCAGTACTGTGGGAGAAAAAGCCTGGTGATCTGTTTAAGATTATAGCCAAGGAAACCCTATGAAACAGTTCTACTCTATAATACACGGTGTTGCAACAAGTCAGAATCCACCCAACAGAAACAAATAACAGCAACAACCTTCCTTTTCATTTCCCCTTCCAAGACACAACAAACTCTTTGATTCATTAGGATAGATCCATGGTTGATGGTATTTACCTCCTTCATAAAGCTTTGTACAGAGTTGTATTTGATATATATTTGTGGAATAGATAAATGTTTGATGAATTTAAAACATATTAAAATAACTTCAAAATATATTCTTTTTTTGGGAAAAAATATAGACCAACATTGCTCGATGTTGGTTCTCAGCTCTTAGGTTTTATCAATATTTTATCATTTGATAAATTTAAAACTGACTATTGTACCTTTGGATTTAAGTGATATCAAAATTTGTCTTCAGATTCTTGAAATTCAGTTCTTCCAGAGAATGCAATTTAGGGGTCAAAAATATGTACAGGCAGTCCCTGGGCTATGAATGTCCAACTTATGGACAACTCCTGCTTGCCCTTTAATGTTATGTAAATTTTCTGTCACTTTGAAATGACTGAATCAACCCCTACCATCAACAAATTTTTCACCACAATCATCTTCACTTGCTGCACATGCAGGCAGCTTTTAAATCATTGAAAAGGCTTTGAGCCTTTTCTTGCACTAAAGTGAGGCTAAATAAGAACCGTATCACCTGTTTTGACTTACCTACAAATTGGACTTAAAGACAGGAACGGATCAGATGGCCTGTACTGAATATGTGAAAAACATATTCCAAAACAATCCCATTTTAGAACTATTATTTGTTCTATCATATAAAAGTTTAGGAAATAGATAGTTTTATATTTTTTATTATTCTGTTGGAAGTAATGGACTAAATAGAATAAATTATCAGTGAGTTAGGATGGATATTAGTCTTTTTGTGGCTAGTCTTGAAATATCACACACACGTACACACAGGCATCACTGAAATTCACTTTTAAACCTCCTAATAAATGGTATGGTTGAGATCCTTTCCAATAACAGACTTAAAATAGAAAAAGAGGATGCCTGAACAAAGCCTTGCAGTCAATAAGAAATCACAGTTTATCTAACAGAAAATCATGCAAATGAAGAAAACATAAGCCAGTCACTATAAACTAGACGTAAAACCATTTGCTTATTAGTAGCTTTCAGTAAAATTTGGGTCCACTTTACTTCCTTTCCTTGGTGGTTTAGTTATCAAAGTGTGAAAATAATGACATTTCAAGGTGCCCTTTGTATAAGCTGGGTCAGCAGCATGGACCATCAGCACAGGGTCCCTCTTGTTGTTTCCGTAAATGTGATGGACTTGTTTCCATTTGTCGTTTGTTTTGGTAATGGGGTTTCCAGTTGCTTAATTTCACAATGATCTTCAAAAGGAAATCTACAGACAAGTCAGCTTGCAAATGATAAAATTTATGAAAATTAGATCTCTGAAAAGAACACATTTGAGACCATGTATTGGACTTCTCCACCATACAATCAACATGACAGAAATATGGCCGCTAAAGGTGGAGGCCTACCCATCTGCTGAGTTGCCCATGGCCGGGATTGGTGGCCAAGGGGACTGAAGGGAGAGGAGAGTGTGGCTCTATGCCCCAGACTGGAGGGGCCCAAATTTTTACCATTCTCTCCAATTTCTAGACAGCAAAACTTCAAACAACAGGTATAGCAAACCAACGTGTGCATGTGTGTTTTCAAACAGGTGTATGCAGACAATTGAAAACTCAAGCCAAAAAAGACCTATTGAGGTAAAACAAAGCATTCTTCTTCCTTACTTTTAACCGTGAGGTACATGGACTTGCTGACGTCTGCGCCCACATCGTTGCTGACCTTGCAGAGGTAGTAGCCACTGTCTTCTTCCACAACATGCTTGATCAACAAAGACCCATTGCTGAGGACCTGGATTCGGCCATTCAAGGCAATTGGCTGGAACTGGGGAACCCCAGCACCTGACAGAGAATAAAAAAATGGAATGGTATTGCAAACACAAATAAACAGGTGAAGGCAATGAGCTCTAGTTCACCTAGACTAATAAAGAGAAGACATGGACACATAACATATTGACATATAGGACAGTCTTGGGATATACCAAATTTTCCCCCAACATTAAAATTCTTGTTTAAAGACAATCAATTTATTAAAAATGACTGTATTTTAAATTCTGAGATAAAGCGTGAGTGCTTACAGATCATTTCTCAATAAGAAGCCAAATTGGATGAGTGTTAAGTAGCTGATAAATTATTCAAGAAATCACAGTAGAACAACCACAGAAGTAGACATCTCTTGTGGCACTAAATGCATTCCTCATGTTCTCAGGGCCTTAATATGCCTGCAAACAAAGAGCACTCCGGGGATACAACTGTGGAAGAACTTGTTCACTGCACACAAAGAAGGCTACAAAGAGAAAACCAGTGACACAGATGTCTCCCATAAGTGTGGTCATATCTCAGTCTAAAAACACATTGAAACATGTCATGGATTGAACTGTGTCCCCCAAAAATATCTGTCGACTTGACTGGGTCATGATTCCCAGTATTGTATGATTGTGTACCATTATGTAATCGGATGTGATTTCCTTATGTGTTGTAAACTCTATCACTATGATGTAATAAGATGGATTAGTGGCAGTTATACTGATGAGGTCTACAAGATTGGATAGTAGCTTAAGCCAATTTCTTTTGAGATATAAAAGAGAGAAATGAGCAGAGATACATGGGAACCTCATACCACCAAGAAAGCAGTGTCGGGAGCAGAGCATGTCCTTTGGACCTGAGATTCCTGCGCTGAGATGCTCCCAGACCAAGGGAAGACTGATGCATCCCAAAGAACTTCCTCCAGAGCCAACAGAGGGAGAAAGCCTTCTCCTGGAGCTAGTGTCCTGAATTTGGACTTGTAGCCTACTAGACTGTGAGAGAATAAATCTCATTTGTTAAAGCCATCCACTTGTGGTATTTCTGTTAGAGCAGCACTAGATGACTAAGACACACTACTAATATTATTTAATGTTACTTAAATAAATAAGTCAGCTCATTGTTCTGGGCATTGAGATGGCACAAAGCTAAAACATCACTGTCTTCAGAGTTCTTATATTTAAGGAGATAATGCCATAGATGGAAAAGACTTCATATGGGAGATACATATAAAAGTATTTTGAAAATAATTCTTTTGGAAATAATAAAACAGAGGATGAAGGTCCCAAGAGATTTCTGGGAAGATGATGGTTTGGACAGAGCTAGGCAGTCTACTCCTCTCCTAGACAAGTATTAGGTGAGGTAGGAAGTATGCAAAAGACCTCTTTGAAGTTTTAAAGAGGAAAGATGTCATTTTGAAGATTAAAGTGCACCTGACCCAAGCCATGGTCTTTTCAATCTCCTCATATGTATGCAAAAGCTGGAAAATGAAACAGGAAGACAGAAGAATTGACACATTCAAACTGTGGTGCTGGGGAAGAATACTGAATACACCATGAACTGCCAGAGGAGCTAACAAATCAGGCTTAGAGGAAATACAATCCAAATGTTCCTCAGAGGTGAAGATGACGAGATTTCAGTTCACTTACTTTGGACATATCATGAGGAAACACCAATTTCTAAAAACGGTCATCATGCTTGGTAAAGCAGCGGGTCAGCAAAAACAAGGGAAACTCTCAATGAGATGGACTGACAGAATAGCTACAATAATGGGCTCAAACATACCAACTGTCTGAGTCATCTAGTGCTGCTATAACAGAAATACAAGTGGATGGCTTTAACAAAGAGAAGTTTATTCTCTCACAGTCCAGTAGGCTAGAAGTCTGAATTCAGGGTGCTAGCTCCAGGGGAAGGCTTTCTCTGTCTGTCAGCTCTGGAGGAAGGTCCTTGTGATGCATCAGTCTTCCCTTGGGCTGGGAGCATCTCATTGCAGAAACCTCAGGTCCAAAGGATACGCTCTGCTCCCAGCACTGCTTTCTTGGTGGTATGAGGTCCCCGGTCTCTGCTCACTTCCCTTTCCTTTTTATCTCTTGAGAGATAAAAGGTGGCACAGGCTACACCCCAGGGAAACTTCCCTTTACATTGGATCAAGGACGTGACCTGGGTAAGGGTGTTATAATCCCACTCTAATCCTCTTTAACATAAAATTACAATCACAAAATGGCAGACAACCACACCATACTGAGAATCATGCCCCAGCCAAATTGATACACACATTTTTTGAGGGACATAATTCATTCCCTGACACCAACGATCAAGAAAATGGCACAGAAACAGAAAACGTTTCCTTCTGTTGTCCGTAAGGTCACCATGAATCAGAGCTGACTCTATGGCATCCAACAACAACAACAGGGGGATGTGATGCAGGCCTTGAAAGGCTCTGCTAAGGCTTCCCAGGACAGACTCAGGGGGAAAGGCAGGGAGAAAGCCAATCTAAACAGAAACTGGCAGGAAAATGAGGACCAATTCCCAATCAGAGCCATCTCTAGCCTTAAAGAGTAGAAGAACATAGGAACTCCCCTATATTAAGGGCAACCTCCCTCTCCCTTTTTGGGTGAAGGAAGGGCCTTGGACAATTTCATTGGGCCAGCTAGCTCTGGCTATACATGTGACACCATTCTACCGAGGAAACCAAGAGGATCAAAGAAAATGCTATAACAGTAGCCATATAAATATTAAATACCAAGGACCTATGGAAAGACAGCTATAAAACTATTGCACCACCACCACCATTAATTGCTGTTGAGTTGATTCCAACTCATAATGCTCTCACGTGCGTCAGAGTAGAACTGTGCTCTATAGGATTTTCAATGGCTCATTCTTCCAAAGTAGATTATCAGGCCTTTCTTCCGAGGCATCTCTGGGTGAGCTCGAACCTCCAACCTTTCGGTTAGCAGCCAAGTATGTCAAACATTTGCACCACCTACAGACTCTATAAAACTATTAATGGTCATTTAGCCAAATGGAGAGACTATCCATGGTATTTATTGTCTGGTATTCGTCAGCTCACATGGTTAGCCAGTTGTCCTAAAATAATGCATTAAATAGCCTAACCTTTCCCAACTGACTTTAAATGCTTTATTGTTTACAAAAAAATGTGTATACATTCAATATTCTAGTAATGCCAATGTTTTCCACATTTTAAGTTTATTACAGTGTCCAAAATTTTAGAGAAGGTTTTTTTTTTTTTTGGAACTTGATAACATTATCCTAACATTCATCTAGAAAAGACAAACAAAAATCCATGCAAGAAAGCTAGGAAATGTTTGAGAAAGAGAAATGAGGGGAGTATTGTTGTACCAGATATTCAAATATATTTGAAAGATAGAAACCTCTAATAAGTGTGTTATTGATGCTGGAACGGACAAATCAGTGTTAACAGAGAGAAAGTTAAAAAAAAACAACTCCAGTATATATACATTTTTTTCATAAAAGATAAAGCATTTTAAGTCAGTTGGAAAAAGTTGGGCCACTCATTGAACGGTTTTAGGACAACTGGTTAACCATGTGAACTAATGATAATAACAGTTATGATGGTGATAGATAATGTGTCTTGACTAATTGCTATCTGCCACACACCATAATAAATGCTTTCTATAAATCATTTTACTAAATTATCACATGAATCCCCTATTGAATCCACTTCACATATGTGGAAGCTGTGGTTCATGTAGATTAAGTAAGTTATACACAATAATACAGCCAGATGGTGGTATGGCTAGAATTTGAACTCATAGCTCACTCCCGTCACTGATGGTTTCTACTGCTTCTCCCAGATTCCTACTTTACTTCTTTTCCTAAAATGAGTTCCAAATCTAATAAAGCTTTGTGTATAAACATATAATATCAGGCTAGAAGGTATCAACACAAAATGAGACTGTTAACCGTTGTCATAGGGCAACATTTGTAGTAACTGTTACATGAGAAACTATTTTGTTCTGTAAGCCTTCATCTTAAGTAAGAATAACAGCACAACTGGAAGAGCGTAGTCAATGTCACTGAACTGTGCATGTAGAAATTTTTGAAATGGTGTATCTTTGGCTATGTGTATCTTCACCAAAAAAAAAAGGTTGAGAAGTTAGAGGGTTCATATGTTGTGGGGTTGTTAACCAATGTCATAGAACAACATGTGTACTACTGTTTCATGAGAAACTATTTGTTCTGTAAGCCTTCACCTGAAGTACAATAAAAAATAAATAAATAAATAAAATAGGTAGAAGGGCAACTAACATTGTAGATTGAGCCAAGGTGCATGCAGAAAGACTGGGGAAGCTGGGCCATGGCTGTGGATCTCAGCAAGCAGCAGCAAAGTATGCACAGTGAATGGGGGTGGCATACCCTGAAGGAGAAAACCTAATCAGTGGGAACAGTGTGCACAGGCTGGGATAGGGCAGGAGCTTCCCTTGACCTGGTTTGGTTCTTAGAGTCAGTGAAGGTAGAGTAAAGTCAGAAATCAGATATTTGTACAAAGTATCTCTTTCTGGGGGTATTAATTTTCTTCCAATATGAGCAATCAAAAAGAAACCAGGATCTAGCAAAGATAGTATAAGAAAAATGGAGAAAAGAAAAAAAAAAAATCAGGTGAAGAAATCTCTCCAGAAAAATGATGCCATGATTCAGGTAAAAACTGTGAAGAAAATGCCTGTGCAATGAAGCAAGAGCTCAAGAAAGAGTGAAATATTAGTTGGCAGAAGTTGAGAAAGAAGGAGGAAACGTAAAATCATGGAAATGAAGATGAAGTTGGAGAGAGCACAAAAGCGATCAGACAGTACTGGGAAAAAAGTCTTAGAGAATAGAAATGAAAACACAAACAAATCAATTAAAATGGGAATAAATGTGTTTAAAAAAGCAGAGAGAAAATAACAGCTATAGAAGATAAAATCCCATGGCTCCATAATTGAAGACCTCAAAGAAGGAAACAAAGTATGGAAACGAACAAATATTTAGAGAGAAAATACAAGGATTTTCTAAAATAAAAA